TAAATTAAAATTATTATGGGAGATCCAAAAATATTTATTATGATTTTTTCTATGAAAAATAATCCAAAATTCATAATAATTAAATGAAGTGTTCTATTTTTTATGGTTCATAATTGAATATTTTAATATTGTAAAGAATTTATTTCAATTAGTATTATAAAAAGGAGTAAGAAATTCATTACTAATGAAATAAATTCCAATAAAATTCTCAAAAATATTTTATGCAATGCTCAATGTGGCTAGAATACGTAAACAAATTTTTGACAATTCTAGAATTTATATGTATGAACATATTTTATTTACGAAACATTATATTTTACTTATACTTATCATTTTAATTGCTTCATAATGTTTAACGGACATTGTGAGATAAAATTAAATGACACAATTTTTTAAATTAAATTATTAAAATCAAATATTGGAATATAGATGACGATGGGGAATATAGTAAATTGTCAATTTCGTATCTTATGTTGAATTTTAATAATTAATTTAAGAAATGAACTACTAGAATATATATGATGTTTTTGTTTTTAGAAATTGATTGTCAAAATGGCAACACAAAATGTCATTGCTAATTTTAATGAGGGCAAAAAAAATAATGGAGATAGTTATAACACATGGCATGTTAAGATACATAATGTCCAAGAAGAGCAAGAGGTTTTGGAGGAAATTAATCACGAGATGATTGAGCCTCAATTTGATGATGGAAACTTCGGTGCATAATGTCATTGAGATATTGCTACTTATCATGCCTAGAAAAAGGCAGATTCCATTGTAAAAGTAACACCGATCGGCTTTATGAATTCATGTTGATCCGGTTTTTAAGTATCAAAATTATCCAATTACTTATGCCATTTAGATAGCATTGAAGGAGGAGTTGGGAGAGACTACTACCTCGAAACCGAGGTAGTTGATGATCAAGTTTGACACTTATAAAAAGTCTCAAACAAATCCATAATATAGCACTCGAGGGACATGTCGAACATGATTACAAAGCCGAAACAAACCGGGTATATCTTGATAGATGAACAACAAGTGCAAGTTGTTATCCGATCTCTTCTTGATAATCGGGAACATATGAAAGTGAACATGACCCGCAATGAGAGCATCATGACATTTGTTGATGTTGCTTGCTATGTTGAGCTGGAGGATTAGCACTATGAGGCGGCTAGGCCAAATATACGAGCATATGTGGTTGAATCTAGCTTAAAAAAGCTTCCAGCTTAAACATAAATGATGCAACAATAAGAAAAACAAAGAGACTAGACATATAATAAAAAAGAAAAACAATTTTTTTAAGTGCAATAAGACCAAATTGACTTGCTACATTTGTGGGTCACTTCGTCCATCAATGTATTGGTTCAAAGAAGGTATTGTCTTTAAATACCTGTTCGTTAATGCTTTTATTTTTAGTACTATAATGCTCACTAAATCTCATCCTATGTAGATTGTAGACTCGGGAGCCATCGACCATGTAGTTGGAGACAAAAATATATTTGTAGAATTTTATCGAATTTCAAATGGGACTCGATGAATATATGTTGATAACAACACGAGGGTTGAGTGTTTGGACTTGGCACGTGCAAATTAAATTTGCAAAAAAGAAAGACCCTATATTTTCCCGATGGAGATTCGACATAATTAGATTTAGACTTGTTGTTTGTCATCTTAGTTGGTTACTTATGATTTTGCATGATTCGATCTATAAAATTGGTCTAGAAAAGCATCCAAGTCTTGAATTAAAAACTTAGAGTAAGAAAAGAAGATGTGTTCGGTATATTTATTGGCTGGCCAATCGTTGATTAATCTTAGGTAGTAGCTCTATGTTATTCCTAATAGATGCATGGTAATAAGCTTTCAAAATGCGGGAATGCTCTTTAGGTTGCACAATCTATTTACTAGTATGAAATGTCTTTTTTTTTTTTTGGTTTGTTATTGATATTACAAAGAGCCTTGCATCGAGTTTAGCCAATCATGCGCGAGTGATAGATGTTAGAAAAAAATGAATACCCAACAAAAAAAATATATTTTTTAAAAAACAAAAAAGAGAGACAAGCAATTATCATGCAGTTGTAGTAGTGGTTATTTCCCTAACTTCTATATATATATATATATATATATATATATATATATATAAACTCTCTATAATTTTTTTGTAAAATTAGGAAAAACAAAAAGAAAGATTGTTTTGGCTTTTGAATTGTGGAATTCGGATAGTGATTTAATATTACTATATTGATTTAGTAAAACTACTTATAAATAAGTGTTATTTCGATCATGGATTTATTTATTTACGTTTGTGATTTTATTTCAGCTATAAAAGCGATGTTTTTAACTAGATGTTTTTTTTAATCAAGTTATGTGTATAAAGGTGCTCTTTGGTAAATCAAAACTAAATTCTTTTTTGTTTGGATATTCTTAAACACGCCACATTTCACGTCTAAATTTGTTCTTCACATAAAATTATTTTCTTTACAACTATATATGTTAGTTAAATCTTAGCTTATGATAATGCTAATCTTATAAACAAGAATTCCTAAAATTTTAATTTTCAAAAAAATCAACCATTGAATTTATCCTACGTGTTTGATTTTTTGAAAAGATTATTCAACGAAACACTACTCCATGTAGAATATATGTTTAGGAAAATTGGGTGATTAAATTAAGTCATAACCAAGTCATTCTTTATCTATCTATCTAGATAACAATAGTACTATTCATTTTTGTTCTTATAGATCCATCAATGTTTCACTTCTACCTTGTACGAGTCGGCTTTATAATAAAGATGACCCTAGGTAAAATAATATTTTTCTTGACAATTTTCAACTATATTTTCATTTAAATCTTGATCTTGTTCTTCTAGTATTTAGAGTTTAATATTAGTAACAAATCTATCAAGTGCACCTTTTTGGGATTGAATTAGTTCTTCTACCTTTCTTTTTTCTTACATTTTTCATATCCAGATTCATATTTTCTAATAGACATTTTATTCAAATAATAAAATTAAAATATAATTATAAAAAGAGTTAAAAAACTTTGGCACTCGATTATATTTACTTGCCACACCTAATCAAGCAAACTTGGAGAGAATCACTCGAGAAAATAAAAAGAAATTTGAGAAAAAAATAAAATATTATATGATTTATATACATAATTTTATTTGCATAAATTAAAAAATTACCTTCGATTCTTACGCCAAGCTAATTAGAAAAGGTCTTATAGGAGATCCCCGATTGTTTGGAGAAAGAAAGGAATATAATAACAAAATTTGGAGATCTAAAAATTGTTTCACTCACAAATATTTTTTTAAAACTTTTCCGTAAGTAACAGTTGTCTCACTAAAATAAAAATTGAAAGCTTTTATAGATAGAAGGTAATCGAAAAGACATCTAAAAAACGTAGAATTTTTAATGTTGAAATCATAATATCTCCGAACAATAGAAGTCTTTCAATGCAGGAACTCTAGTACATATGACCCGTTAATAGAGAGAAGAATAATGTCTCATACTTAGATGGAGATCGCATCTTCTAATTTATCTCATTCTTCACGAGTGTAGATTTAGGATAAAATTTTAATTGAGACTCTCCTTTCTATAGGGGCCCTAGGCATAGGCCTTAATAGCCTATACCTTGAGCCAGCACTCGACCTTGTATTTTACAATCTCCTAATACTGCACTTTTAGTTTATAGAAAATTTCAATGCTACACCTAAACATTAAATAGCCTATTTAAATTTGGTTTTTGAGTCTTTGTCAAGATTCTAATTATTTTTGCAACATATTATAACATATATCTTAACTTGAAAGAGGGAAAAAGAAGAAGACCGAAAAGTTGAAAAAATGAAAGAAAGAAACTTATGAAAAAGGTTTAACTTTTTGTTAGTTAGTTAGCAATGAAGTTCAAAAAAAAAAAAAAAAAAAAAACTTTATTAAGTGAAACATCGATAAATATATAAGGGCAAAACATAGTTTACCCAAATAAAAACTTTCGATATGCACCATTCAAATAATAATTTTTACCATAAAACTAGTTTAAATTTCCATAATTACTAGCTAAAAATATTTTTAAAATTTTGAAAATAGCTTTTAAAAATCAAAACAAAGAATATATATGGTAGAAGAGCAAACCGTTAGTAACATAAAAGAAGATGACAAAACCCCTAGTATGATTCGTACAAATTTTGAAAACAACTTTTTAAAAATAGGGGGAAAAAAAAACATAACGACACTGTAAGAATCTTCAAAACCTTGATTTTCTCTGTGGTCTGCTTGAGCTGGGTTTTAGTCTTTTATTTTGACTGGTCTTAGATGTAGACTTTTTCTTGGATCCTTAATTTTGTGTCGGAAAAAAAGAAAAAAAAATTACCAACCCAAAATGGATTGCAACATTTTGTCCCATTACGAATTTCTGCAATGGTCCCCCTTCAATAATTTCTTCACAACTTTACAGCTTCATGTGCCTTTTCAGCTCAAAATAGATCGTGGCAACATATCCAAATTGAACAACATATTCATTTTACAAACTTCAATATAATACACATAAGATTATGTAATTAAATTCCTCATGATATAATATTGTATAAAAAATCCTAATTGATTGTTATTTTTACGATAATTCTGTTTTTTTTTTTATTGGTTTTGAGATCATATAGAATAAACAAAGTCACCATATCAATTAATAAGATCTATCCATCTTTGTCAAAAAAAAAAGAATGCATCACTACTAAAATACTCTTTTGTTTTGACTATACAAATACAACCATTAAAATGTAATTCCATAAGATCTAGACTAAACACAAATAGTTTCATCAAATAAAAAGAATGCCTATTTTTTTTTCAATAAATATTTTGGTCGAACACTAATGTGTAGTATAGTAGGACATTAAAATCCCACCTCGTCATTTCTTTATTGTGCAGGACTGACCATGTACCATGAAATCTCTGTTGCTCTTAGTACTAATCAATCAAAGGAAGCAGAAGTCTAAAAGACGAAACAAATCATACGTTAACAGGCTTGCAGAGGAACATGAGAGACGATGCAGACGCATCTCCGCCACCAGTACCGAGTCTCCCAAGTCTCTCATAATAATCAACACAAAACAGAGAGAGCGAGAGCTGGACCTCATCCCGAGTCCAGACCCTCCTGACCCGGTCCGAGTCTCCTGCAAGCCTCAATCGGCGCAATCGACTCAGCACCGGCCTCACGCACACCATGTAGAGCCTCTTGTAGCCTCCGAGAGCCACGACGACGGGGCGGACGCCGGAGGAGGGAACAGGGGACACGTGACGGAAGCATAGATGCTCCCAGAGAGAGTCGTCGCGGGCAATGGTGCACCAGAGACGGCAGACGCTGGCAGAAACACAGAGAGAGCGGCCGTCGAGTCGTTTGAGGATTTCCGTAAGAATGTCTACGTGGTCATTGATGCAGAACTTGGTTCTCTTCTCTTTATTGCCTTCCATGTCTGGTTTCAGTGGAGAGAAAGAGATGCAGCTATAGCTAGCTAGGGAGATAAAAGATGACGGTTGTTGAGTGTGAGAGAGGATCAAATGAAGTGGGTTTAAATAGTAGGTGTAGAAAACCTAGCTAAATGCATGTTAACGTCATGGGAGATTTTACTTGGCAAAGGTGAATTGTTGAAATAGAGGGAGGGAAAAAGAAAAATGTGAGGAGGGTATCGATGGGAGAGAAGAAGGGGCCAAAGGAAAAGGTCCAAGGCTAAGGAACTGGAACCGATGCTTTGCCTTTGCCTTCTTTCTTTTGAATAATATATTGTTTTGGAGCGCTTAAAAGAGTATTTGTTGTTTGTTGTTTGTGCTGTTTTTGTTGTTGTTTGCATGTATCGAGACTTTTGGCTTAGGGCCGTTGTGAAATGTTTACCTTTGCCACTCCCCAAGTATATATGGTGGTGCCTAGCTAAGCTAATCTAATTAAGCTGCAAGCGCTCTACGTTGTACTGTACGGATAGATAGCTTACGCCAAGGTATTGGACCGTTTAAGTAGGCGCTAGATTGCTAGCTAGAGGCCTCAATGTTGTCATTTTCAGCATCGTTTCAAGGATTTCATGGCCGGCTACAGGATCTCCGGTGCCCCATCAAAACATTAATATTTATGAACTCCATAATACGAGGATTCGTTCTTAAGATTATTTGGAAAAAAAAAACAATTTAATTGTGATTGACATATAAATTAGTATAAGAATTCTTTTACCGTGGAATAAAAAACAAATTACAAGTAATTTACAACTTCTAATATTAACATATTTTTACTCATTTAAATTATTCATAAGTAAAAAATATCTAACGTTTGATCATTCAAATAACTAATAATGTATACATCTCGTGCAGTAACCAAAGCAAAGTCAGACCTTTAAGATGAGGGCCTGGTTGTATCTATTTGGTTGTCTTTTGGCACAGAAAAGGAAACCCCAATTCCTCCGAGACAGAAAGCACGTAATATAATATCATTAAGACGAAGAGTTGAAATTGACACTAGATCTTGTAAAGGCCTTGTGGGGGTGAGTTGTCCCGGAGACTCAGACCCCCACTTATAATTTAGAGAGAAAAGATCCACAGCTAGGTTGTTTTGTTTTGTTTGTGTTGGACATGTTCATTTTGCTGGGCATGCACGCCCATCAGCTCAGATGACCAGAGAGCAGTACTATACAACTATTCCCTCTTTGTTTTTATCTATTTGCGTAAGCAAAACTTCTTGATAATTACAAAATTACAAGAGGATACAAGTGAAGTCCGCCAAATTAATTTGGTATTTTTCATTTTATTCAATCTCTCACCCGACGACTTCATCTGCTGTACTAAATTTGTGGTTGTAAAGTGTTTGCCACATACTAATAAGTCAACATGCACAGAGAAAATTTTTTCACATTTCTACAAACTACAAAGGAAAGAAAAATAAGCATGTCGTTCTTTCACATTTCTATGCATGTATGCAGTGTACGATACCCACAACACACACTACCATGCTTGGACATTGACTATTCCCTGCAAAACTATATATATATATATATATATATATAATCTGCATCAGTCTGCGAATTTGATTCTCAAAAAAACGACAGTTGTATCGTAGCATACTATAATATTATAATAAATGGAAAGTTTTGTGAACACAAGGCAAGAGTCCATTTTTCAACCAAAAAAAAAACAAGTTAGCAAAACTTTCTGTTCAGACTTACATAGATGTCCTGTTTCTTTTTATAATGGAGTGGAGAATATGTTTTTACTTGGCATCAAGCAATAAGGTCAAAGTGGCATAGTAGCTTTGCATCTGATCTTCGGCTGAGCATAATAATAGTAAATATTATAGGCAATATGAACAAGGCAAAGAAACAAGAAGATAAAAAGTAAACAGAATAGGACCTAGAAATACAAACAATGAAATTACAGTCAGCCGGGCGGCTCTAATTATGTCTCCTTTTTCCTAACTGCTCTCTTAGCTTGAAGTGAGCGATCAGGGAATCTAGAATCCTCATTTTTCCCCCATAATTAGCCAGAAATGCTTGTATTATTCTCACCTAGTCTGGTTCGTTTATGGGGTTGGAGCTTTGTTGGGAATTCTTTTGTTTTTGGGGGTGCTTTTGGAAGGAAGCTTCTAATTCAACTTACAAATATATATCTTAACACAGACTGCCAATTATTATTTGATAATCTCTGACATGCACGGCCATCTTTTAGCCATTTTCAGGTCCTTTCAAGTTTCATGCTGTAATTGAATTTAAAAGTATGTAAGGTGACCAGGGATGCTTTGTTAAAAACAACAAGTTTAAATATTAAAAAAAAATGAAGAAATTAAATAGATGAGTACGTAACAGGAAGTTGACGTGATTAAACACTGATCTATATAATCTTAAAAATAAAAAATTTAATTTGATTATTGGGAGGTTGGACAACATATGCAAATGTTAAAAAACCTTATTATGCTATATATTAGCCATAGAAAGCAAACAACGAAAAGGAAACAATTAATGAAAGAAGGTTAGAGAACATGTTTTGACCATTTGTCACTTCTGAACACGCGAGAGTACCCTATTTGATGCAAGCCAAACTGCCAACATATAAAACTACACACAGAAACGTATAAAAAGTTAAAAACTGCATCGGCTAATAACCCGTTAGCCTTCATCTACACGTATCCGGATCTACTGTGTCAATTAACATCGAGGTAATTAAGACACTTGAGATTCTTGAATTCAGAGGGGAGAGGTTGAAGTTGGTCTTTGCAAGTGATTAGACGAATGATTGTGGCCGCTTACTCACTTTCAATCTTAATCATTAGTGCCAGCAATTTTTTCATTTAAGAAGTAATTTATAAGCAATTTCATGAGGCAGATCAAACTACTACTCAAAATAGTTTTTAATTAATATATTTACTCTGTAAATGGCCTCAAAATTTAACGTGATTCAGCCAATAATTGACTATCTCCAAGTACTACAAGTTTCATTAAATGATACCCAAATACGCGCAACATTGATCCTCAAAAGAAAAATTCTAAAATCACTACAAGAAATCCTCTGCAAACAGTACTCATGGTGTCCTTGGCTGCCTCACTACAAAACCCGACTATATATATATATATAGCTACTCTATAACAGTAGCTAACTAGTGTAATAAAAGTTGCAATGTTTGCCTTGAATCCATCATGGTTGGCAATGTCTCTTAATTAATGAACGGAACACAATTGGTGGCAATCAATTGCAAGTTATGCTTCTTCCTAGATGTCACCCCAGAAGTCTCACTCATGTCCAGTTCTTCAGGTTTCATTCCATTTGAAAGTTTCCAGTCAAAGTGGTACAGCATCTGAGCCAGCGTAAACTCGATGTTGGCAATAGCAAATGATATTCCAGGACAAATTCTCCTACCTGCTCCAAATGGTGTAAATTCATAGTCTGTCCCTTTAAAATCAACTGGAGAGTCCTGGAACCTCTCTGGCTTAAAGCAATCAGGTTGATTCCAAATGTCTGGATTTCTACCTAGTGCCCATATGTTAATAACAACTTTTGCCTTGACTGGTATTTCATATCCATTAATCTCACATTTTTCTCTCGTTTCTCTCTGTAGTAACGGACTTGCAGGGTGTAGACGCAAAGTTTCCTTGATAATTGCTTTCAAGTAATCAAGATTTTCAAGGTCTACCTCCTCTATTTTGTTCTTTCCTTTAAAAGCTTGCCGCACCTCAGCTTGCGCCTTCTCCATAACTCTTGGGTTCTTGAGCAACTCTGACATTGCCCACTCTATAGTTGATGCTGTTGTCCCCGTCCCGCCAGAAAAGATGTCCTGATCAAATCCATTGAACAAAGAATGATTCACATGAAAGATATCAAAATTATAATATCAGTATTAGTGTTTCCAATTGCAGTAAATACCATGGTCACAGCTTTGATTTGGTTGGTTGTGAGATGCATGTCCAGCTGATCGGACTCCTGAAGCTTTAGAAGCACATCAAGAAGATCATCGTGGTCAGATTTTTTGCCATTCGATTTTCCTTTCATCTTGTGTTCGTTGATGATTCGATCAAGAAGCTTGTCTTGCTTCCTGTGTAAGCTCTCCAGTGTAGCCTGCACCCCGGTAATGTAACGAAGAAAGCCAAGCGAGGGGAACAAATCAGGCAAGGTGAAGAATTTCTTTTTAACTTCTGAAAGCAATGACATGAATTCATCTTGATCATTGCATTTGAAACCAAATGCTGCACGCGAAACCACATTGTTTACCATGGACAGTATCTTGCTACTTAGATTTATAGTAACTCCTTCATTTGAAGAAATGGACTCCATGAGCTCCCATGTTTCTTCTTCTCTTATTGACCTAAACGACTGGACCCTCTTTGCGCTGAGTAGCTCTAACATACAAATTTTCTTAAGTTGCCTCCAGTAGTTTCCATATGGGGCAAAGACTATGTTAGAATAACCATATGTCATAATTTTAGCAGCAAAAAATCCAGATCTTTGAGCAAAATTGACCTCTTTTGTCTTTAAAACCTCTTTGGCAGCCTCTGGTGATGATATCACTATAAACTGCTCACCAATTTTGAGGCTCATGACAGGCCCATATTTCTTGGCTAGGTTGGTTATGGCATGATGTGGTAATGAGCCGATCAATTGGTGCAAGTTCCCTATAAGGGGTAGTTTCCGTGGTCCTGGAGGGACCTTGCGGATTGAGCTTTTGCCTTTGGATTTCATCCAATACTTGACAAGCATGAACAAGAAGACAACAAAAATAGCAGAGAGAACGGACATTTGAGAGATTGAAGAGGCTGCTTTGGTAGTAATCATGATGGGCGTTTTATGATTTTTGCATGAAGCAAAACTACTATATATATATATATAGTGTTTTGATGCTAAATGCTTTCACCAGCTAGTTTAGCTTAAGTGGTAAAATTTGTCTGCGGTCCTTCTCGGCTCCTCCTTAAGTTCAACTCTGTTAGGAGAAATCAAGCCAATCTACTTTATATCAAGGGCAATCCTCATAAAAATTCTCAAGTTATAGAGGCAATCTCGATTAGATATTCAAACTATTTTTTTCTCTCAATTAAGTCCCAACCATATTGATATATTCCTAATCTCAATCATATCCTTCTATCAGATTTACTTAACAAAATTATTAAGTAAAATTAAAGCACAAAAACGAAAGAAGAAGATATCATATTGGGAAAACCCTTACGAATTAGTGTAGCTAGGGCAGGCCAATGCTGTTATTAGTATTTACATAGGGTAACAAAATACTAATTATTCAAGTAATCCTATTGTAATTAAATTACAATAACTAGGTTTCTAATCTTGATGGCATTTTTTTCTTAGAGTTGGTTCCTTAACAAGTAATTACATCACTCTAATTTTATTTATTTATTTTTATAAAAACAATAGAATTTGCAACGATAAATCATAATGTATTTAGCGAGACTAAACATAATAATAATAATTATTATATAGTTTGGGGAATGAAGTTTGAACCTTTATGATTACGACAATTATAGCCTCTCTCTTTCTCTCTCTTGTTGTTATTTATTTATTTTTTTTTGTTTTTCTTTGTAGATATTTCTATCATATATCGAAAACATGATTAATCATATTTGGAATGAAAATAATAAAATTTAATATTTTTTAATAAATATAATTTTAAAATTTTAATTTTGTAAATTGATAAAAAAATTTATTTAAAAACCAACTCGTTTATTATTGGATCAATAACTTGTTGATTCTATATGATTGTTATAAATTAGTATATGAAAAACAGCGTTGATTGCTTGGTGACCACCAAAATTCTTGAACATGAACATTTGTAATGCCCTGGCTTTCAATTGGGAATAAAATAAAAAGGAACGGCGGCTTCTCCATTGCGGGGCCTTCTGAACGGTGGCTTTAAGTTTGTCAAATGCGATGGCCGCGAAAAATTGTTTTCCGTCCGTTAGCCTTTAATTTGTCGGGATGCATGTACCGTCCCACCATCTCGTATGTATGTTTACTTTAGAACATAAAACAAATACTAGCTAGGATTCTTTTGATTTTTTGTAATAAATTCATGTGACAGATTAAGAACGTTGGAATAAGTCATTACTAATAGAATTCAATTTGCTGTAATTATGTTAAAATAAATTTGCTCTTGTTAGCAAGATATCAAAGTATAATAAGAAAAATAATTTGAGAATCGAGATGTCCCGGCTACTTAAACTACTACCGTAAAACTCTACTATAAAAAGCGTAATGAAAAATAGTATGTGCAATCGTCTTTATCACATTTAATAAAGAATATATCGATTTTCTAAATTACAAAACAAATTCCACATAAAAACATGGCTATTGTTGGATTTTGAGACTAGTAAGCACACACCACCAATTATAGAAGAGTTGTTTATATGGACTTTGATAGGATGGAATTTTGAAAGAAAAAAATTACTATAATTTAATTTTTGTCAATTCAATTTAGAAGCCAGGTAACATGCACAGAGAGCTCTAGGCTCGATCTGACCCATGAAGAGGTCTAATTAAAAAAAAAAACAAAAAAAACCAGACGTGCTTCTAAAATTGTAATTTTGAACATTTAAAAAAAGAATAAGTAACAACCAGCTAATTGCGATTTTTAAAATAAACGAGCTAAAATACAAAATCATAAATAAATAGAGACCAAATTATAAGTTAATTAAAATTTTTTGCAGAGAACGTCTTCATTTTCGTTTCAGTTTTCCTTCTCTATCAATATCTTTTTAGGTTAATTGTTGTAGAGATTCTTTAATGTTTTCTTTTATTTTTAATTATGTCTCTCTTTTTTTTTTTTTTTCTAATCTTAAGTTTATTTTTTTACATTTAATTTTTGTGTTAATTTCATCCCTTCTTTATAACTGGTGTCAACTTTTTTTTTCGTCTTAATATGATCTCTATATTTTTTGATTAATTTTTTTAAAAAATGTAAATAATCATATTTTTATATCTAAAATATTCTTTATAGGTTAAACTTTTAAATGATATTTATAGTCTTTTAACCATTTTTTATTGAATATTTTTAAAAAATAAATTAAATCAAATTAAGAAATTTGTAAAATGAAAATAAGTAAATTATAATAAATTTTTTTTAGATATTATAAATACTATTTAAAAATTTAACTAAAACTTTTTTGATATTTAAAAAAAATACTATAAATATTTTACTTTATATTCAAAATTTACTTACAGACACAAAAATAAATTTAAATTATAAAGGATAGTTTGGGTGAAAAATGTTTTTATTTTTACTTTTTTTTCACTTAAAAAAGAGTGAAAATATAAAATTAAGACGAAAATAAAGATCAACACATGTTGTAATCTGATAAAACTAACAATGTAATTTAATATTATTAATTAAAAAATTAACGAAAGGAACGGGGACCGAATTTAAGAGGAATGAAAGTTAAGAGTAGCGTGATACGTAAATGTAGAGAACGAATAGGAAGAGCCTTCCAACCATTAACCCAAATGTTTTCCCTCCCTCGCCGAGAGTGACACTGTTCTCTTCCACTTTTTTTCTCCATAGTTAAAGGTTTATCTCTCAGAAATTCTGATAAATTGGGTATGCTTCCTTCTTCCTGGACAAACCAAATTCAAGTCCTTAAAAGTATGACAAGTTTACGTCTCCGTCGATTTTCAACTTTGCCTGGGAATTTCGTGAAGGAGAGGAATCGGAATGATCCAATCCCAATCCCCCACAGAACAATCCCTGAACCCAAAGGCCAAGACCTTGATTTTGTTAACGTTGCACACAGTCACCTTATTCACTCTGATTGGGACAAGCTTAACAAACTATCCACCCATTTCACTCCCTTTAGAGTTAACCATATTCTGCTGAAGATCCGAAACGATCATGTTCTTTCCCTTGAATTCTTCAATTCTCTCAAAACCCTAAACTCCATTTCCCTGACTCTCGAAAACCATTCCATTATTCTCCACATTCTTACCAAAAACCGCAAGTTCAAATCTGCCCAATCCATTCTCAAAACCCTTCTTGCTTCGCCTTCCATTGATTTCCCTGGTAAGTTGTTTGATACCCTTCTTTTTTCATATCGAATGTGCGATTCTTCGCCGAGGGTTTTTGATTCATTGTTTAAGACTTATGCGCATATGTGCAAGTTTAGGAATGCTACTGATGTTTTTTCTCGAATGAAGGTTTACGGATTTTTGCCCACTGTTGAGTCTTGCAATGCCTATTTGAGCTCCTTGCTTGATTTTCGTAGGGTGGATATAGCTTTGATTTTTTATAGAGAAATGCGGCGGTGTAGGATATCGCCGAATTCCTATACTTTTAACCTGGTTTTGTCTGCCTTTTGCAAGTCAGGAAAACTTGAAAAGGCTGTTGAGGTGCTTAGGGAGATGAAGAGTGTGGGAATTACTCCTAATGTTGTATCTTACAATACTCTGATTGCAGGGCATTGTAGTAAGGGTCTTTTGAGCATAGCTACAAAGCTTAAGAACTTGATGAGGAAGAATGGTTTGGAGCCCAATGTGGTTACTTTTAACTCTTTGATTCATGGGTTTTGCAAGGAAGGGAAACTGCATGAAGCAAATAGTTTTTTTAGTGAGATGAAAGTTATGAATGTGACTCCTAATATAGTAACTTACAATACTATGATAAATGGATATGGTCAAGTGGGTAACGGTGACATGGCTGGTAAGTTTTACGATGAAATGTTGAGAAATGGAGTCAAGGCTGATATATTGACTTATAATGCTTTGATTCTGGGGCTATGCAAAGAGGGTAAGACTAAGAAAGCTGCGGCTTTTGTTAAAGAACTTGATAAAGAGAATTTAGTTCCCAATGCTTCGACCTTTTCTGCTCTCATTAGTGGACAGTGTGCAAGGAAGAACTCTGACCGTGCTTTTCAGCTGTACAAAAGCATGGTAAGGAGTGGTTGTCATCCAAATGAGCAAACTTTCAAGATGTTGATATCTGCCTTCTTGAAGAATGAGGATTTTGAAGGAGCACTTCAAGTCTTGATGGATATGTTTGCGAGGTCTATGGTTCCTGATTCAAATACCTTAGTGGAAATTTACAATGGACTTTGCCAGTGTCGAAAAGAACATTTGGCAACAAAGTTATGCCATGAGATGGAAGCTAGACATCTAATTCCAGAAGTTTTTGACAGAGCTGAACCTTACAACTCCACGAAAGAGAGAGAGAACAGAACATTTGGATAATGCTGTACATGCTTGTGTCCAACTGTATATTTTAAAGGTTTGGCAAGGTTGATATTTGGAAGTACATCTCTTACTTTGAGTGCAAAAAATTAAAGGAGTTTCCTCTTAAAAAGCTGAAAGGTATCTTCATATTCATGTTTATTATAACCACAACTTGTGTTTCACTATTTATAAGAACTTTCTTGGGCATACTTGATGCATTCAGATCTTTAAGAAATTTTCTTGCTCATTTTTCTGTTTCTTTCATTATATGCTAAAAATTAATATCTTCCATTTTAGGGACCATCTTTTCATTGTGGGTAATGCCAAATCTTTTCTTCTTAGTTCTAGCTCCATTGCTCTAGACACGTCAAATTATTTTTTATGTTCATATAGGAGTTCCAACTTTCTTAGCGAAAACTGTTAGTGCGCAGAAGTTTGTGGGTCATAACATCTGCTTGTGTTTCTTTCCATATTCTTTTCTAATGAAGAAAATAACGGTTCCATCATTTTCCAGTCTGGTGGGCAGGGTGAAAATTTATTCAAGATAAAAGCGTAAATAGAAATTACAGAAGCTTCATCAAAAGATATATCTCTTTATGAAACTTAGACTAGAATCCCATAAAAATTGATACACAGAAGGAAACCAGAGAAGCATCTTCATATTTTAGAAACAATCCCGAGCCTGAATTGTTGCCATTTTTGTCCAGTGGTTGAAATTGACTTTAACAGTGTTGGATTGTAACTAAAAAGTTCCTACAACCATCTTTGATCCTATGTACAATTAATCAGAGAGGTAGGGAATGCAAGGGAAAATGATGTAGCAACTGTATCTGTATATGTTATTGATAGCTAGTGATGAATCCTACCATGACCAGGTGTTACATGCATGTTCATGCCACTGGTTTTAGGGAATAAGATATAATCTTATCTAAAAAAACCTAAATAGAAAACCATTCTGTTTTGACACTTTTAACGTGGTTGTGATTTGGGAGTCAAGGTTACCAGGCTCTTCTAAGTTTAAAAGCACTTGCACTAGATCTTCCTTGCTTGATGAATAATCCCTGCTACCTATTTCCTGTCTTATTTTATGCTCATTGATGATATCATTAAGATCCATGTCATTTTCTTTTGCTTATTTGCTATGGTACAGGTTTCGTTTTGTGGAATTAGAAGTTTGATCTAGGAAATGTCAGGGAAGTTGAAGCCTCTGCCCAGTAATGCTGCTTTCTTGATCAAGGTTGGGAACTCACCTTAATCATTGCAGATTTTACTGATAGCGGGAAGTTTAATCATTCATCAATTGGAAAAATCAACTTGCAGAGGTTTATGGGACCGCCCTGTGAAGAGGAAATGGATTTAATAAGATTCCATGCCTCTTCTCTTATTGATTTAAATGATTGAAGTGTATGGGACCTAGGGGTTTCAAGAAACAGATCTTTCTCGTTTGTCACCAGCAATGGTCATAAGGAGAGATGAAAAGACTTGAATTTAGAAATTATAATATGTCACGAGTAAGAAAGCTAGGTTTTTGTGTGAATATAGGCTGATTCTTTAATAAAACCTGCATGCTGCTTCTGGTGATGAAATTATAATATGTCACGATCAAGAAAGCTAGGTTTTTGTGTGAATATCGGCTGATTCTTTAATAAAACCTGCATGCTGCTTCTGGTGATGAGATTATTACAGCCAAAACCTCACTGAGTTGTAGTTTGCATGATAGATCCAAATTTCTTGGCCAAGCCTCTTAAGGATTGATGTTGCAGTACTGAGCAAGTCAACTGATGCAAGTTTCCCATGAGAGGCAGCTTCTCTGGACCTTTTGGGGACGGTCCTTGGGCTATGGATCCCTTCCATTGCTCCACAACCATGAAGAGAAAGAGAGCACAAGCTACAAGGACATAGAAAAGAGGGAAATTGGAGCATCAGAGAAATTGAAGAAGCTTTTTTCCATGGATTTGAGGTATTTGGACCATGATTTCTGAAATTTTGTTGGTGATATCTGCACTTTTGATATCAACTTACATAATTTTGTTGTGATTTTAGTTGGCATCGCAATCATTAAACAAAAATCCATTTGTGCTTTCTTCCCCAAAAATCAAACTTGTTGCAGAGCATACATTGTATTCATGGATTATATAGTACCTGGCATTACTTAGTGACTTAACGTTCAATAATACCATGTGGGAACTTGTTTATATACTCTTTGAATCCTGTGGTACTGAAATTTAAGTAGCTGCCCTTGACCTTTCTTGCTTGTTTTAGTTATCCTTTCGTTTCAACAATGCTCTGTTAATTTAGATTATTGTTTAGTATTGGAGGATATTTCTCCCCCACTTCTGGGGCCTGTTCTGTAACAGACTTAATTCTTGAAGTTTGACTAAAAAAAGATTATTAGGTTGAATATTGTGTAACAAGCATAATGTCCAGGTTTGGCAAACTTAATTGTTTGATGGACTGATCAACCTAGTACTTCCTACGACACACTGATGAAGAAAATGAAACACCACTTGTCTAATTCATGATTTTGTATTTATTCCTTTTATAGCCACCAGATCTCTTCCCTAAAATAGGAATAAGCTATAATTACTAGTCCAGGAATGAGAGGACATATCTAATATCTCAAGTCTCAATATTTTTTGGACAATATACTTGGGATTTTTCCTTATCTATTACCGTCTGGATTTTTTTTAGCCACCCAGGAAGAATAGCATATCTCAACAACTACCTTGGTCTCTCTCTTCAAATTCTTGTCTCTTGTGACAATTTCTCTTTCTTGAATGTAGCTGGAAGTCTTCAATAACTTGTCCCTGTCCATTAAAGTGAGGGTGCATTCATAATTCAGATGCATTCCTAGTGAACTAGGAGTAGATTATTTTAATTCCATCTAATTTTATCGTTATGACTAAGGATTTATGACTGAACTAACAGAATATAACAATGTGGGACATGTACTTTAACTCAATACTGTTGTAATATATTCATAGTATCTGACAATGTCTCTTACCTAGGAAAGGAACACAGGTGGTGGCAATCAAGTGCAAGTTGTGCTTCTTCTTGGCTGTTATTCCATAATTCCCGCTCATGGCAAGTTCTTCCGGTTTGTCTGCATTAGTAAATTTCCAGTCAAAGTGGTACGGCATTGGCAGAGGCAAATGATATCCCTGGAAAATCCTTCTACCTGATATGAATCCCCTAAAAGTAACTGGAGAACCTTGGGACCTCTCTGGTTTAAAGCCATTAGGTTCTATCCAAATATCCGAATTTCTACCTAATGCCCATGTATTAAATGACTATTATTGCTTTTTCTTGCATTTTGTGCATACATACGAAAACACTATTTTGGGACAGTGCAATTTAGCATATGAAAAATCTCTTCCTCCACTATCACAATTTCATAATCTTCATTACCATAAGAGAGAGTAGTCATCTGCTAAACCCAGTTGTTGAAGAACAAACTACTATGGGAAAAACGGTTGGTAACGTGCTGCATGCTGTTTAAGTTACGTGGTAATACTACCTGTGCTATATATATATATATATAGATATTTATGTAAAAGACAGGTAACTGGGTAAAGATCTAGTGTCTCTATATAGAAGACAAGCAATGCTAGATGGAGGACATGCACATTGCCGTCAATGACCTAGAATCAATCAGCCAAAATGCATTCATGTATATTTGTACACCATGTAAAAAAGAAGACACTCCAAAACGATGATGGCAGATAACAGATGGATCGAGAAGCATGAATGAATTCTATATCTGGATTAGAGAAGAGCAAACTTTGCATGACATGTATAACCATGTTGAGTTCTTCAGGTTTGATCCCATGAGCAAGTTTCCAGTCAAAGTGGTACAGCATTTGAGCAAGTGCAGGTTCAATATTAGCAGTGGCAAATGAAATCCCTGGACACATCCTCCTGCCAGCTCCAAATGGTATAAACTCAAAGTCAGTCCCTTTAAAATCAACAGGAGAACCATGGGAACTTTCTGGTTTAAAGCTATCAGGTTCAATCCAAGTATTTGGATCTCTACCTATTGCCCATGTATTTATAAGAATCTTTGCCTTCGCTGGTATTTCATATCCACCAATCTCAGATTTTTCTCTTGCTTTTCTGGGCAGTAAGGGACTTGTAGGATGCAGATATAGAGTTTCTTTGATAACTAATTTCAAGTAATCCAAATGTTGAATGTCTGTCTCTACTATTCTCGTTTTTCCCTTAAGACCTCAGCTTGTGCTTTCTCCATTACTCTAGGGTTTCTAAGTAACTCTGACATTGTTCATTCCATTGTTGTTGCCGATGTCTCAGTCCCTCCTGAGAAAATGTCCTGAAATTTATTGAAACTAATTCAGTTTTCTTATCGAAATAGGTAAGGATTAGCAAGATGCACGAAATCAATTAAGAATAGGTGGTGGTTTGACGACATATGAAGATCACAGCGTTAATGTGGTTGGTTGTGAGCTGCATGTCAAGCTTATTGGAATCTTGAAGCTTTTAGAAGCACATCAAGCAGATCTTCATCAACCGATTCATCATTTGAGCATGTGGATTTTCTTTTCACCTTATGTTCATGCACAATATGATTAAGAATCTTGTCAATCTTCTTATGTATCCTCTCAAATGCAGGCTGTATACCGGTGACGTAAGGAAGAAATTTGAGGGATGGATACAAATCAGGCAAGTTAAAGCCCCCAGAAACCCGTATAGCTTCATCAATCAAAGACATGAATTCACTGTGATCTTTGCATTTCAAACTAAATGCTGCCTCTGAATTTACGTTGCTTGTCATGGCAAAAACCTTGTGACTCAGATTCATTGCAACTCCTTGGAACGTAGAAATGGATTCTATGAGATCCCATGCTTCGTTCTCTCTTATTGATCTAAATGACTGGACACGCTTTGTGCTTAATAGTTCAAATACACAAATTTTTCTAAGTTGCCTCCAGTAATCTCCATAGGGAGCAAACACCACGCCAGCATCATCATATGACACTAGTTCAACCGCAAGAACTGCAGCTCTTTCAGCAAAACTGATCGCTTTTGTCTCTAAAGCCTCTTTTACTGCTTCTGGTGATGATATGACAACCACGAGCTTTTCACCAACTTGGAGTTGCATAACAGGTCCATATTTCTTGGACAATTTTGCAATGTTATGATGTGGTGATGGACCATTCAACTGGTGCAAGTTACCCATAAGAGGGAGTTTGGGTGGGCCAGGAGGGGACTTTGAGGGTTTGGATTTCTTCCAATTCTTTACAAGCATGAATAGGATGATGAGGATAGCAAAAGGAATGGAGTTGCAGGAGGAGCATCTGAGAAATTGAAGTTGCTCTCCTCATGGTCATAGATGTGCAAATTAGGAAGTTCACTATTTTACATATCCATTCTTAAAACAAGTTGAGTTTATATAGGTTTTTTTTCAGGATAAAAACCCACCCACCTGATACATATATTCAGTTTTTTGTTTGAAGTTAAAACATTTATCTTTCCTTTAACTTGGACTTTCTTGTGAGATGGTACAACTAATAGAGGATTCTTCAAGGTCGGAGGGGACAAGGAGGGCAAGAACAATCCTTCACAATTTTGAATACACTTTTGTAATGGGGTCTTCATTATTCTTATTCTTATTTTGGCACAAGAGAATCAGGACTGATAGAAGGGGATCCTAATCCATGACATGAAGATATGCTACTGGTCAAATCAATCCAAGACATGCAAAGAGTCATGCTAATCCAAAATCAAATACACCAATGAATTTCTTCAATTTTACTGTTATATAAAAAAAATTTCAATATTTCATAGAAAATTTTGGTTTTTTAATTCAACTAATTGGATCTCCAACGTGGAGTATGGTAATCATATCCATGCGACAATTTCTGTGATTATTTGAAAGCATTGCCCTAAATTTTTGCATTTCAGTGACTTGTTCTTTCATCAGTTAAGTTGCTAATATCAATACTCAAAACTTTTTGCTCCTATGCATGAAAAGATACCCTGGTTCATTAACATTGAACAATTAAGTGCAATTATTCTCAATGCGTCAATAAGCACACCTATACATGAAAATACACCAACATTCTTACATTTATGGATTCAATAAAGGAGTATACAATGAAAAATTGAAAAAAAAAATTATAAAAACAAATAAATTATTTTTCATGTAAAATAAAAAAGTGAGGGTTAACTAAACAGTTTTACAATCTTCATGTCTGAGGTTAAAATAATTTAAACTAGATCAATAGGAATTGAGGATTAGGACTTAATTAGAAAACTTAAAAAGTTCAAGGGCTTATTTTCAGAAGCTCTTGGAGTAAATCACTAGTCATTATGGAATGCCAAAATTTAGAACTTGATCACTAAAGTGCAAAGGAGCTAATTTTTTATACATTTTCATAATTAGACCATCTTCAAATAACCACAGAAATAGTGTATACATGTTTGATCGGATCTCTCAGGCCAAAATTGTGATGTGTGTGTGTGTGTGTATAATTTATCAACTTTCTTGCATCAAGACAAAATGGTATTCATCCATATACCATCTTCAAATAACCACAGAAATAGTGCATACATGTTTGATAGGATCTCTCCAGCCAAAATTGTGATGTGTGTATGTGTGTGTATCAACTTTCATGCATCAAGACAAAATGGTATTCATCTATGGATGCTAACAAAATCTGACGGCAGAACTTGTTTCCCAAGGGTAAAATACTTACCATAACCCCAAAAAGGTTGTATAGCCATTCCCTTAGAAAATTAGGATGCGGCAATTATGTGATCAAAAACTTCCCCATACTTGTCTAATTAATCATGGTGCTGCTTCCAAAAATGCCGTTGGCATGTTCAAATAAGTGTACAACACATTTTTCAATTACATTTACCCTGAAATTGAAGCTAAGATTACAGTATTCGATGAACAGTCATATTAGAGCTTACTTGAGTCAATGTTACCAGGGTTGTGTCGAGGTCACATTTCATCTTCACCAGCTTCAGCAGCAGATATCTCAGAGTCCAATTTATTAATTAGCTGCTCACTTATGTGGCGAGCAACAGAAATCATGTCAGAAATAACACTCGGATCAAGACCAGCACTTCCTCGTTTGGACAGCCCACAAATGTGCCCTTTCCTATTGATAGAAACAGAAACAGCAGAGCTCATCTGGGATTCCTCTTCTGAAGTGGCATCTACAATATAGTGCCTCCCCACCTACAAGATAGAAGATTGAAATCCATGGTTAATTAGTACTCTTTACAGTTGTCAAAATTCTGAAAAGAAACAGTTTTGGATCACCTTTGTTAGCGTAACTATAACAGGGACCCCAGAAGTGTCAAATTGTAAAAATTCTTCATCACTTATGTCAACCTCTGGTTGCTCATCACCCAATGCACCAGCTGCAACTTGGACTCTTGGGATGCCTGTATTGCTCAAAGCAGCCTTTGGAGACAGCAGCAATGTATATTAGCAATCAGTTTCGACTACAAGATCAAACTCCTCTCAAAACAAAAGCAACTTTAGAATAGTATGTGGTTGTGAGTTTTTGAGTTGTTCCAGAAACAATAGCAGAGTGCAATGACTGTTACAAAAATCATGTTTTTATCAGACAAGCCCAAACTTGGTGAGTTTTAACATTCTATCAACTTTGTGAAGGAGACTATACTTGAACTGAGAGAAGTCTGAATGAAGAGTGTGATTCCAAGCTCAACCAATCCAGTCATGATATTTCACCACTTGTTACCAACAGCCATCACATCCATCCAAATGGTGTGATTGCATATGGAAAAATGAATGAGACCACTAGCAAACATACAAATAACTAGTAGAGTACCTTGATGGCAGCACCTAGAGCATCAAGAAGATTTCCATCTGAACTGATGACAAGTCCATCAATGTAAAGATCCCAACAAATTTTTCCTTCTGCAACTATTAAAGATGATAGATCAATTCCAGCCCCTGAGACAAATTCAAGCCCTTTGTTATCAATTTGAATCGCAAGAACCCAAAAAAATGATACATTATTGGATGCCATGGGGTATAATGCCAAATGAGAAAACACAAATGACACAACAAATTTTTGGTACTTGTCATTCACTACCGAGAATACAGACCTGCTCCGCTTTTACCACCCAAGAGGCAATGCTGAAGAACAACTGAGAGTTCTGTGGACAGTTCCTCACCCCCTCTGCCCTGAGTAAGATGTGATGGCAGGGTTAACTTATGAAAGAAAGACAATTATACTGGTGAAAACAACTGTGGACAATTTCAGATGAGCTCTTCATCATGTAATGGATAAGATTCAGTTTAAAGAAACATGGAAAGACAGCAATGAGCAAATCACTGAATGACAGTTCATACACATTCAAGCAATTGAAAAACAAGACCTGCAAGGGTCAAACTAAGATAAGGATGGCATTTGAAGAATGCTAATTGATAAGAAATTACTTTGCATAGTCTTGAGAAGCCTGACCATATGCCCAATGAAAATTGACAGAGTAGTAACTCCACTCTGGTGCAATGACCATTTTAACTCGATTGTTTAGGACAAACGTTGTATGAATCAGTTGCCACAATCTTGACAACAAACAAGGATCTATTAACAGGGCAGAATATAAAAGTATAAAACCTCGAACATTGGTTCTGCTACTGGACTACAATCAACAAATATAGCAACTTTTCCTTGATCAGGTTGCAATGCATCTGGCCTTCCAAGCTCAGCCTGCATTTTAACAAATACGCAACAAATCATAAAAAGTTGCCACAGAAACGAACAATTCACATAAACAAAACATAAGAAGTTCTTATCATTTTGAAATCACATAGATCGAAGAAGTGCGGATCATGAAGGCTATAAAATACCTTCACACTGGCAATAACCTCCGTTGCACCTATCCTGATTCGTGCTGAGCCGTTTGCCTGTGGTTCAATTCATTAAGTATTAAAAAGAAAACCAGTACTCTAATTTGATTTGATTAAGCAAAGCAGGTTTGATAGGAAATGAGTTATACCTGAGGGATAACCCCAGTTTCAACAGATATAGGTCGGTAAGTATCTCTTTTCCGGCCGTCAGAGCGGATGTTTTGATCAATACCTCCCTGTATGAAATGCTTTTCACCAAGAGAAAGCCCTACCATATCTTCACATATAAAACAGAACCCAGAAAAAACTACATGGTTACAATCACATATAATTGATTCGGTAAGAATCAAAAGAAACCAAAATTAATAGCTTTTTCAAACTTTGAGTCTCAATATTTTAATTTTGAACGATTGAAAAAACCTCACACAGACAATTTCACAAACAGGTGGCGACCAACGAAAAAATTAACAGGAACAGTAGCTATAAAGGGAAGTAATGAGTGAGAAAGAAACCTTGGAAGCAAAACAACAGGCTTTTTCCTTAGAGCTGAAAGAAAAAAGGCGACTGAGAGAAGGTTCTAAGTCTTCAACTTTTAGGACAGTGAAACGTAGTCTCTGCCTGCCTGCTGCTGCTGCAATTTTTGCTCTTGGAGATTAAAAGAGGGGGAGAACTCGTTTGTTTTCAGAGGAAAAATAAGAGGAAGCCTTGATTTAGCCCCGATGTATTATTCTTTTATTAATTTAGTCTCAAAGCTTTTATGTTTTCAAATTGGTCCAAACATTATTAACAATTTAACATTAAACAATGTTACCCCTCCATCTATACATTATATTGATAATTAAAAAATTATTTTTAATTTATAGTATCCTCATTAAGTTATTTAATCTATAATATTAAAACAAATCTCAATCCATTTTAAAGAATAATTTTAGCTTCAATTATAATAAAATTTTCTTCAATTCATTAATTTTCATCTATTCTGTTTACTTAAGCTATTGAAGTAGAAAATTTTTTATTATTATAGTTAAAAATATTAAAATTTATTTTAAAGTCTTAGATAAAAGCATTAATAAGTATGTGTAAATTCGTGCAATTAGATGCTATATAGCAGTTTATGGATGAGGAGGTGATATTATGTAATGTAGATCCCATTTAAAGTAAATTTGATAAAAAAAAAAACTTGTTGAAACTCAATTGATAATGGGGCTATACATTGGGGGCTAAATGAGATTTTTCCAAAAATTAACGGAATTTAGTACGGTAAGTAGCGTGGCCCAGAGACACAACGAGACGGCCTTTAGCCCTTAATTTACCCTAAACAAGTGTTAACCGTTGGATCAAATATCTCTGACGTGTCACCATCATCTTCTTCGCTTAAAAAAAAAAAAAAACACGAACCTCCGTCTTCCAAACTGAGTCATGTTTCTGCTCCGAGTGGAGGAAGCAGTATCCTAACCGTTTTCTACAAACGCTTGAAAAATAATTTAGGTCAGGATGGGTCGTTCTCGCGGTCGCCCTCCTTCTGCGGCCACTGTCGCAGCCGCAGCGGCAGCCGCCGTCTTTGCTGATGATCCAAACCACAGGTATACTTTCATTCTTAGTTTCTGCAGAAATTTTGAATATTTATTTATCATGTATTGTTTGGTTGCTGAGAAATTTCTTTTCGTGAAAATTTGTTTCTATTTTCTACTTCAGTCTACAGTCATGTGATGTTTCTGATTCAAATATACAAGTCAATATTTTCTTTTATTGATTTTTTGGAATTTTATTTCTTTTAGCTTCTTGCAGGTTTGCTTTTATTTTTAATGAACATTCTTTTTTTTTAGTAGATCATCAAAAAGAAAAAAGACGACTTCCAATGTAGAGAGTATAGAGAGTGCATTCCCTGCAGGTATAATATTTTAATGGTGCTTTGAAATTTTTTATGCAAATATATACTTATGATCAGTACATAATTGTTAATCTCCTACAATGCAGTACATAAAGAAACGAGCCAGGGGAAACCGGCACTATACCATTGTAATTACTGTCATAAAGATATCTCTGGAATGGTTCGCATTAAGTGTGCAGTATGCCCTGATTTTGACCTTTGCGTTGAGTGTTTTTCTGTTGGAGCCGAAGTCACTCCTCACAAAAGCAATCATCCCTACAGGGTTATGGTAAAGTAATCTTGTCCTAATGTCATTGTATGGTTCTGATCGTTAATATTAGTTGGTCATTTTCGTGTCATTCCCAGCATACTTTTCTTTTCTTAACCTTGGGGACATGTGTTAGTCAAGCATTGCACTTAAGGATTTTTTGTCTCATTGAAATTGATATTGTGATGCAAGGGCCAATTTTAACAACTGCAGTGTGTGCTCGAACATTTGCCTTTTAGTTTGTAGCTTAAACTTGTGTGTAAACAACATATAATGTTTCTGGCTTCTTTATTTTTTTCACCCATACAGGATTCGTTCCCTATCCCTGTGTTCCCTGGACCACTGCGAGATGATTTTTAGAATAATTAAATGAAACAGTGATTGTACCTAAATCAGTATCTATATTTTCATTTTTTTTTTCAACAGGACAGTTTGTCTTTTCCGCTCTTTTGTCCAGAATGGAATACAGATGAAGAGATATTACTTCTGGAGGTATTTGTATTAATGAGTCAAACTCTGTGTTCCCGATATTACTAAAAACCCATATGATTTTTCTGTAAAATGCTGGTTTACCTCTTGTGAACCTGGCATTCTGAATGTTGTTATTAAGATGGTTAGATGATGTATTTTGTCCTCACTTTTAGGGCATTGAAATGTATGGATTTGGGAACTGGACTGAAGTTTCAGAACATGTTGGAACCAAGAGCAAATCTCAATGCATTGATCACTATAGTGCTGTCTACATGGACTCCCCATGCTTTCCTCGCCCAGTAAGAATTATATTGGCATGCATGTAATACGTGTATGCATACCAAATAGTTAAAATGGTACTACTATCCTTGGTTTGTTCTATGTAGGACATGTCTCATGTTATGGGAAAGACCAGAGAGGAGCTCCTTGCAATGGCCAAAGGAAATGCTGAAATGAAGAAAGGTTAGTTTGCAATTGATTTGAGTACTTTACAATTGTGTCACGTGTAGATTGGATGGCTGGTATTGTTATAGTTTATAACATCCGTTCTCAATTAAATTCATAGGCTGCTGATTCAAGTTTGCATAATTCATCAGTTACTTATCTTTTGAAATATTCAGTTGAAGCAAATTCAGAACATGTTAATTGCTCCTGTTGTACATCTTCTGAATATTTTATTGAATTAATCTAAAATAATTACTTCGTTCGTCTTTTGTATTGCTAGTCATGTTCATGTGTGTGTTCTCTTAAGTCCACTGGTCGGCATCCCAATTTTCCGGGTTCATATACTGAATATCTATGTAAAGTAAGCTAGCTAAACTGATTTTTATGTTTATTGCCAGAGTTTTTTGCTCTTGGGGAGCTGACGCCGAAACAAGAGTCTCCCTTCCCTGCGAAAATCAAGTATGGCTATTTTCACGATTATATATGACTTTCAGATGAACTCTAATCCTGATTGCTAATTCCTCAAAGTGCTTGATCAGAAGTGAGGCATCAAAGAAAGAAGATTTAGCCAGCCATTCCTTATCTATATTAAATGCAGGTATGACATTCAACTGGAAAATGTTTATTTTTTGTTCTTTCTCTTGAAGATTACTTTATGTGGATTAGCATTTTCCAATTGAAATTCTTGACATACTCTTACTGCTTACTTCAGAAGTCAGCTCCCATATGGGTTCAAGCAGCGGCAATACATTCTTAGATGCATCTAAGAAAACATCCAACATGGCCCAGATTAAGGACGAGATTAAAGTGGAAGGTGTGATTTCAGTGTTTATTGTTTGTTTACTGCAAACTTCATGAGAGAAATTTTCATGACATGGGTGCGTTTTATTGTACTGGTGTATAATCATGATGTATGTTATTGATTTTGACCAGTCAAATTGCAGAAACACATTATGTGTAATGGATTTAATGTGAAGTGCTGGTGAGTTCATTCATGCAATGCTCTTAAAAAGTTTTTGCTGGAAACTAGTTTTGTGTACACGATTCAGAATTTTTAATCGCATTGTTTCATAATTGATATGCATCAAACTGTTAAAAGACAGTTAAGATAATGTGTGTAGCTTTATGAGCTGGCTTCCTTTCTAATCTTTATCACATGTACTTACTGACTATTTTTGGCAGAACCTCTGTCAGACAGGAGTATAAGAGAGAAAAAACCTAGAATTTGCGGAGAGGAAGGACCTTCCTTGACAGAGTTAAGTGGCTATAATTTCAAGAGGCAGGAATTTGAGATTGAATATGATAATGATGCAGAGCAACTACTGGCAGATATGGAATTCAAGGATACTGACACTGATGCTGAACATGAAATGAAACTGCGTGTTCTGCACGTTTACTCAAAAAGGTACAGTTGAAGTTTTTAACATACACATTTGATGTGAGAAACAACATACCGAAGGCTGATTCTAGAGGTCTATTTGTTTTAGAATTGAAGGACAGTTGGTAAAACAAGCCTGCCATTTTGGCTGCCCATCCCACGACTAAACGATGGTTTTGCTCTTGTTCCATGATTAATCCTTTCAGAGCAGATCAGCCTGCTGACATCATGATGCCACAAACTTTTGGCTTGAGATTTTTTCTGCACTAACCTTGGGTGCTTGCTACTCTAAATTGAGACCTCCTAAGAAGAAAATATAGGTGTTAGAACATATTAAGTTTGATCTCCAACCAAACATTTTTTTTTCCCTTTATTTTGGAGATCTTTTTTATTTTTAACTAGTTTCCAAATACTTGTTGGCAGGCTTGACGAGAGGAAACGAAGGAAAGATTTTATTTTGGAAAGAAATTTATTTTACCCTGATTCATTTGAGAAGAACCTTTCACCTGAAGAGAAGGAAATATATCAGCGTTACAAGGTCTTTATGAGGTTCCACACAAAAGAAGAGCATGAAGAATTGATGAAGACTGTTATCGAGGATCATCGGATTATGAAAAGAATACGAGATCTTCAGGTTTGATGCATGCTGCACACTTGACATCTGCATCTGCTGTTTTGTTAATTGGCTCTTAAAGTTTCCAGTTGTTGTGCTACCAATATAATAGTAACCATCCATGCCATAATAAAGATATTGCTAGGGTAGTTTACTGTCAGATCATTGTTCCTCATGGGCAAATTGCAGAATCCACAATCGTTTCCTCATAATCAATTACCAAATTGAACTTTGTGATGGACATGTTAATTTTGTTGTTTCTTAGTTATTGATAACTCAGGTAGTGAAACATGTAATGCCCAATTTCTTAGTGGACGTGTTTCTTAGAATTTGCTAGCAAGCAGTTCTGTTCCAGCTATCTGTTCCATGAGCTGAAAGATTGTGTCAACTTTCAGCTCCTGCTTGTTATTATTTGTAAAACATTTATGGAGGCACTCTTGGGCACGCTTTGTATTTATTCCTAATGCAAGCTGTGATCATGCTATGGCATTTGACACAAATGATTATGCAGGAAGCTCGAGCTGCTGGCTGTCGAACAACTGGCGAGGCCCAAGAATTTATTGAGCAGAAGAGAAAGAAGGAAGCTGAAGAAAGTGCCCAAAGAGCGAAGGAAAGTATGCAAGCAGGTGCCCAAACAACTGGTAAACTGTTGCAAAAGCCGAATCTTGACAGCAGCCCTCGTGGAGTTGTCAGGAGTTCCACTGGTTTTAATCCTAGTGACAAGGACTCATCTTCGATGATTGCAACACAAGCTATTTCAAGCTCCTTAGATGAGTGGGATATCACTGGATTCATAGGGGCTGATTTGCTCTCTGAATCTGTAAGAATGTTGTTTAACTTATTGACGTTTTGGTTATTAAATTTGTTTATGCTTTCAATTCGATTTCATGTTTGCTATGTTCCAAATTGATTTTGGGATATAAACCCAAGCTTGTGCATCATTGCCTGATTTAATTTTGTACATTCAAACGCACTTTAATTTGTTCTCCATGCATCGGATTCACTCGAGTAATCTGTGATATTATTACGTGCAGGATAAGCGTCTATGTTGCGACTTGAGAATACTACCTGCACATTATCTCAAAATGCTTCAGATTATGTCAATAGAGATAACAAAGGGTACAGTTACTAACAAAACCGATGCTCATAGCCTGTTCAAGGTGGAATCAAGCAAAGTGGATAAAGTCTATGATATGTTAGTGAAAAAGGGGATTGCTCAAGCATGACTACTGACTAGGTATTACATCTCTATTTTTGTTGATCTGCTTTTGTTTGTGAAAGAGAGCCAGCTTCCTAGCAATATGTTGTAAGATAACTCTTATATCCGAGCATATTTTGACAAAGCATTCTATTAGATAGTGTAGTAATCTTTTGCACTGTAATTAATATTCGTTGATCAATGGAAGAGAGGCAATGGTAGTTTTCCTAGAAAACAATACAATTCATTGTGCCTTGCAGTTTCTGTTTCTTTGAAGTGCTTCCATGTTTAGCCTGGAAAGACCAACAGGCTGAACCCAAATGTCTGCCTTTGCATAATGTTAAAGGTTCACTTTACTATGAATCAACCACTCGGCACTTGAAGGATTCGGGTTCCCCATTGCCCATAAAGAAGAAAACAAAAAACCCTTGATGGAGTTGATCTGATAAGGCTATATGGATGCAGGTAAAGATGAATTGAACTAGGATATTGATAAGAACGTCTGTGTTATTTCTTAGATGGTTTCTTTCAAGCTCTTGCGTCACTGTGCCTCCCTTTCAAATTTTTTTTTTTTTTTTTTTGATCTTTTATCAGAATGATCTGCCATTGTTAAGCCAGCCCAATCTAGGAGACCGATTTAGTGCAAAATGAGGGAGAGCACTGAGCAATAACAGTGACGAAAGGACAGACAAATGCTGTTTGGCATAGGGGCTATATAGCAATGAAAATGAGCTCTGATTAAAAAACAAAAACAAAAATAAAGGAGCAATGTATTCTTTTACAAATAGAAACAAAGAATACCAAGGGCAAGGCAACTAGTCAAGTACGTCCAATCACATGTTTCAATTCCATTCTCTACCACAAAAGCTTTTTGGGTTCCCATTAATCAGAAGTCTTCCATACAATTTAAATTAAAAAGCCATGAAAGTACAAAGAAAGTAACAACTCCAAGAGATTCCAGAACCTGCATTAAGATTAAAAACCTAGAAGAGATGGAGAGAGAGAGAGAGAGAGAGTACAGAAACTAGAAAGCCCCTCCTTCCTCCTCCTTTTAGCCTCTTCCTTGAGTTCTGACATCATCTTCTTGTTTGCCTAAAACAGTACCCAAAGCAGCGGACGAGACGCCCATCCACATCTCTCCCTCTCTTCCATATATAATCCCAAATCCAAGTCAAGATATTAGATTCCCTCCCTCCTGGCAAAACCTAAACCCTACTCTGCCTACTTCGTCTTGTCACCATCCTCCATCTTAATTTCCGATTAGCTAGGTCTATTTCCCTATTTAGGTCAGGTCCTTTACCCCTCCACCCTACTTCTGCTACGCCCCAAAATCCCACAAGTGTATTGTCGTGTCACTTGCTGCTACTGCTACGTGTCTCTCATCTGCAACAAAAGCGTTGACCTCACCTATTCTCTCCCCAAAGCTATACAAATACTCTTGCCACCCATGCTGCTCTATCTGCCATACCCTTATAACACCCCCTGCGCACATTAGTGCGTACCCGCCATTCATGCATCCAATCACCCCCCTTGGGGGCCTCACTGTAAAACTGCACACCTCCTCTAAGGTTGCCACCCGGCGGACTCTAGCATTGCCCCTACCATCTACGATAACATGCGCCTCATTGCACGCGTCAAAGGCACCCACCAATATGCCTCTCCTGTTAGTGTGGTCTTCCTCCATCAATATAAACCCAAGGTTCCTCAAATCAAAAACCATCAGTCTCGAACTCGTGCATGCAACGACGGATTCCTGAGTCGTGACCCTGACTCGGCCCACAAACTCAGTCAACTCGGTCAACGTGTGCCAACCCATTACAGCTTCTGGGTCAGTCAACGACCCGCCTTCGAAAAGAGGTTCTTCGGTGTTACCATCCCAAACACGAAAGGCCCGGCCCGGGAGGCCAGCGTAGAGGCCCACCCACCATCGCCCCCGGCCCGTGAAATCCACTAACGCCCCGTCGTTTAACACGTTACCTAAGCGGGCCCTACGTGTACTGGCATTGTTGTTTACTGCTGCCACGTGGATGTCTCCATCTAACGTGGCAAAAACTAACCGCGTAGCCGTGATAACGATGCCCGAGACCGCACGAGAGAACCGTCCCAGGCGGTCACGGTGCTCAGGGCGGAAAGTCCGCGCATGGAGGCGCGTGGTGAGATCAAAAAGGCGGACACCGCCGTCTGCAAAACCACATGCAAGGTAGCGATCGGAGAAGGCGAGACAGCGACATATTAGAGCATCAGGGTTGTTCGGGTCATCCACATCAGCTGGATCAAAGTGGAGGGTGAAATGGACTGCTCTTCCTGATCGGAAGTTTTGGGCTGTTTCGTGACGGTAGATATACTCCTCTCGCCATGTGTCATGTAGGAGATTAGCGCGGCCCCAGATCCTGCGAGTGAGACGGTGCCAAAGAGGATCCGAGCGGGAGACTGCTCGCCACGTGGAACACACCTGAAAGCAAATTGAACTCCATGCATGTAAAAGATAATTACATAAACGATAGCTATGCATGCACGTAGCAATAGCATCATGCAATAACACAGCTTATATATATATATATATAAATGTCTCTGTGTGTGTGGAACTTGAGCTAGCTACCTATCTTTTTCGAACGTTTTTATTTATTCCACTGCTAGCTAAGCTGAGTTTAAGCTTGTTCAGCTGGCTAGGGTTTATACAAAACCAAAGTGGTAATAAGCTAATTACCGGTTAGTTGGAAATCTATGCGATGCTAAATTGCTAATGTTTCTTCTTTTAACAGACCAACGCCTTGATAAATACTTATACTCCACACGAAAAGCAATTTTACATCATTAGGGGATACTATTACCTAGTGGACCAGCAAAAGCAATAGCAAAAAAATCTCCATGAAAGTAGCATAAACAAGCAGATAAAGATGAAAGAAGGACCCGACTTGAAAGAATTGAATAACAGTAAACGTCTTAAATCTTTAAATTTAATCGGGTTTCATTATATACATCATGCGAACCCCTTGGTTACTTTTGCTTTTGCATGAACTCATATATATATATATATATATATATATATCCAGAGATTACCATGTAATTCAGTTAATCCAAGTATGGGAGATCTCATCCTACACGGAGTACATAAAAAAGCTGATTGCAAATCATAGTAATAAAATAGTTGTACTTGGACATGCAAATCTTAAATGAGATAAGAGATCACCACAAACCAAGCTAATTAAAAACAGTTAAAAGCTTCTGTACAGCTTCCTCTATTTTTACTACTAACCTAACATGCTAGCACGTATTATGCACAAACGGTATAATACAAAAAATATACGTTTAAAAAAAAATAGAAAAGAAATTTGTATGCACATTTTAACTTGTATAACCAAAAAAATTAGAAGTCAAAAGAAAAAGCCAATTGAACTTTTTTTTATCATTTTTTAATGAAAATTATAGGTTCTAAAAAAGTTTCCCTCCTCTCCCAGACGCTGTATTACCTATCTGTCTCTTGAAAAATCGTCCTTTTCGTGAAGACCGAATCTTCTCCTTCTCTCCTAAGTTTCAAAATTCAAACAAAAAACAAGAACAATAAAAAGCTATTTTCCAACCTTTTCAATTTATTCTTCTTTTTGTTTTATGAGTCTCAAGAAATTGTTGAGATTTTGGGAATGCAGAGATCTCAATTGTTTATTGAGAAAAGAAACAAATTGTTTTTGGTTTTGAAGCGCTGATTTTGTTGAGGGACTTGGAGGTATGAGATAAGGGTTTTTTTGTGGTGTGGTGGAGGTTTCAACAATGGTCGATGATGGTTCTTAATTTTGAGCCATTTCCATCAAAGTTTTCATAGTTTTGTACCTTGAACATAATTCAATGTATATTGTTCTTAATTTTAAATTCAAAATAAGTAAAAAATTGTCTTTAACGATGATAAAAGACTACTGGACATGGGTAGAGAAATGAATAAATGACCTTAAATCGATTTGTGAGGCCATTTTTGGCGTGTTGTGTTGTTAAAAAAAAATTCGTTTGAATTCTACATGTAATTTAATTTATTAAGTTTTATTATGGATTTGAAAAAAAAAAAACGAGAGAAATGTAAAATATCCAACCTTAGGTTGTTTTTTGTTTCTTTAATTTTCAAATAAATAAATAAATAAATTTATTTTTTTAACCTTTGTTTTTATGGTTATACGATTTAAAAATGAATATAGGTAATTTTCTTTGCATACACTGCTGAATGGAACATATGGTAAGAGTTATTGGCTAATTGACTAGTGATCATGACTTTCAAATGCAAATCTAACTAAAACGATTTTGAAAGTATAAAAGACGTACTAAAATAAATAAAATAGCGAAGAAAAACTACAATAAAACTAAGAGCAAAGTTAAACATATAAGCTTTGAAGGAATTAAAAATACTAGCAAGTCCGATATTATACAGATACGACCTCGCATACTGTGTGCATATAATCTACAAATGGTGAGATGGGGTGTGGCAAAAGTCGAGTATACGAAGGCACTTGGAGGCATGCGCATTAAGCTTTAATTGTGAGAAGACTTGAAGCTGGTGCCACATGCATATATGCCAATGCCAGACAGGCAATAGCAGACAGGAGAGACTAGAGACTAGGGACTCGAGATCGAGCAGTAGTAGAGGGTGTTAGAGAAAAGAGAAAGACATGTTATTTTTATAGTTCTCGTGTCAGAATCAGTCAGAGCTCCATATAAAGGAAAGGGCTGATGGCTATGGTGTTCTTCTCTCTCTGTCTCTCTCTCTCTCTCTCTTTTTTGGCCTTTTTCCAAGGTAGCATAGCATGGCCTTCCTTGTCTTCTAGCTTAGACATGCTGTACCAGACCACATCAACTGTATCCTACTATCAGGGAGAAAGCGACCCCTCTCGCTTTATTGTTATTATAAACTTACTTTTATTAGTATTATTAGAATTATTCATTCAATAAATGCTACGAGATAAGGTACAGCAAGTACACATGAGACACCTATATACAATCGGGGAAGAAGGGACAAAAGAAGTAGCGTCTGGGGTCAAGAACTGATAGGAAACTTCTTGCAGACAAAAACCCATGAGTAAATGGGAGAGAGATTTTTCGTAACTGAGGTGGGATGGAAATTTGTTTTGAGGAAAAAATAAAATAAAATAAATTGAAGGACAAAAACCATCAGAAACCTTATACAAAAAATTGTAGAAAACATAGGATTATAACTTCAAGCGTGCTTTCCAACTTATTTCTCTCTCTCTTTCATTTCCAAGAAAAGAGTTGGCCAAAGGCCTGTCTCGTTAAAAGAAGCGAATCTATCTCTCTTCTCCGACTCTACCTTTTCCTGCTTTTGCTTCGATTGTGTCCCTAACTTCTACTTCCTAAATACCCTACATGATATAGATGCCGGTGACAATTTGAATCAATAATTTATAACTTGGTCCTTGTAATTTTAAAGTTTAAATTATTTAATCTTTCAAGTTTCGAAAATAACTAATTAATCATTTGACCATTTTTTACTCCGTGTGTAATTAACGAAATTTAACAGAAAAAACGATTAAAAAACATACAGTAACAAAAAGATTCACTTATTAACAGTTATGAAAATATATGAAATTAAATAATTTTTTTAGTGTGTTTTTTTCATTTATCAAATATTAAAATATACTCTCTCCTTGAAGTATTTGAGTTTAAAAAAACTCCGTTACATATTTTTGTAATGGTGGCTAATTTGATTTGTGGCGGTAATATAACTTACTCCCTTTCCCAACTAATTATTAATTACTAACACTAATTAATTTTTTAACTAAACTGATTGAAGGCACAGAGTCTCTATCTATAATTAAAAAAAAATCCTTCTAAACTACGGGGTTGTAAAAACATAGGATCTAAGGTATAAAGGAAGAAGGCTTCTTAAGAGTTGCATAACCTATTCACCATATCGTACCGAAACGAAACTTAATGACGGGAATGGTATGATTATGACTCGAATTTCAGAACATTTGGTAAAAAAGGAAAACCATATTATATTAAAAACTACCTTAATCCAAAAACTTAAACCACCGGCTACCTAACCAAAATAATTTTATAATATTCACCCAATTGCGAGTTCTTTATTTGATTGAATGGTACTAATAGACACTTTTTGTTCCAATTTGTGTACTAACGAACAATAAAGTTTTGGCTGTTTTTGATACTAGCTAGGTTCTAAATTCAACAAGGTCCAACATGAACTTGGCAATGCAATGCTAAGAAGAGAAATATCATTCAAGGAATACAAAATTTACTCAAAATAAAACTAGAGGAACAAAAGACAAAAAATAAAAATTAAAGTTGGTAATAAAAACAAAGAAAATAACAAGGAACAAAAGTTAAGTCACCGACTGACTCTGGCTTGAGCTACGAGAAGACCCTATCTCTGAAGTGACAAGGAGACATCAGTTTCTAAAACCAGGCACCAGCATTGGGCTCCATGTGCTTTTGGCATTGCACATGCTGACTCTTGACTGATGATACCACCAGACATCAGTTTATAAACCAGCCAATCCTCCAAATTTGGCTTTAGAGTTATATATATAAATAAGGGTATACTTAAAAACCAAGAGAAAATTGTTGCTTCTACTTAAAAAATATTTGATTCGATGGTACGAAGAACTTGAATAAAAAATTTGGGTTTCAGAGTTACAAATAATGATAAGCTTTAAGTCAAAGTGATAAACAACTATTTCTCAACAGAAAAAAAATATATATATATGTAAATCAAGAGCTAGGAGTGGGAGAGCATAAGCAATTAATGTAGACGACTGTGATTCGTTGCTTGTAAGATATATAATGAAAAAAAGAAAAATCAGACCCAAATTGAAAGAAAAGAGGAAGAATAACGTTCCTATAGTTACCATTTAAAGATTTAAGTGCACCAAGAAAAATTAGAGTTGAGAAAGGAATTTTAAGAGAGTAGTAGTAATTGGGGGAGAGCCCTTAGCCTTAAATCATGCCATAAATATATAGCTCCCCTCCCAAAGGCCAAGGCAGCTAAGTTAAAAGCAGATTTCAAACGTCTCTATCCACATTTGTAGCATTAGAAAAGTATCTAAATGGATCTTTTAGCAAAGATAAGAAAGTTGAGTCAAAAAAGCAAGGGATTCTAGACCTAAAAAAAGATCATGCCAAGAAAGGGAAAGAGTAATTCAAAATCAAAAGAGTCCTTTTCCTCAAGATATGAAAAAGGGTCCAAAAATGGATAATTTTGTTTAGTGTATGTGTGTGTATATATATATATATATAAAAGATGAAGCAACTAAAACTTGCTAAGATGAAACTACTTCATCCGAATGGGACATAAATTTAGTTAGAAATGGACCCATCAAAAAGCAGTTCCTTCCAAAAGTATAGTTTCTCCTTGGATGCTTACATACATATAACCCAAGCTGTTACCCTATGTCAGCATTTCTTCAGTTTCCATTGAAATAAAAGCAGAAGAATCTCAAAATCTATATTTTATGTATATAACCAATGGAGTTTATAGCATTACTATAGCCCCCTGACAGGTTCCCAACAGTTCTTTGACTAGACCAAGTTTTGTCCATTTTTGGAACGATATCCACCGGATGGTGCTAGAGTGATTCTATTCTATTGCCTACTTCTCTGCCTAGCCAGCTGCTAACAGATTAACATCATTATCTATCAAAATTTATCTTAAAACACCTACTCCATCTCAACGAAACAAACCCATTAATGCCACAAACAAAATCTCATGGCCTTCACTTCTTATGCATACATGGAGTAAAATCATAGCAAGTTCCAAGAGGATATACATATATACCTGAAATACATTGGCAAGTGCCTGAGCTGCAGCGAGTCGGCCGACAAGGCGAGAAGCATCAATGGCGACTTGGGCAGCTAGAGCCTCTAAAAAAGGCTCAGGCCAATCCTCGTTAATGGCTCTTGGGCGAGACCTTGATGGGCCTTCGTATTCACCAACTCTTCTTGCACCGTAATTACCACCACCACTGCCATTACCATTGCCATTGCCGTTGTCATTGCTAGAAGATGATGATGATGAAGAAGACATTGATAAATTAATAAACAATATATACGGAGCGAAGCTGCGAAAAAAGAAAATATGGGCTGCAAAGAAACAAGGACAAAAAGGTGTAGATAAAGACGCAAAGTGCGGGTCCCAAGAGAGAGCATTTGGGACTCTTCTCTCTCTGTCTCTCTATATATGTATATAAAATTAAGTATCTTTCTATATTTATACGTATATTAATACATTATACATGTAGTTAGTTGTACACTCATTTACAGTATATCATCCTGTACATAAATTTGTATTTGATTCATCCCCTTTCGTATTCTGGTCAATTTGAGGGCTCCTATTCTGATATATGTATTTTTAATTGTTTTTCTTTTTCTTTTGGTCTTTAGAGGTTGGGATGTTTTTGGAGGTTTCCAGCCCTGCAAAGACGGCGGGGGAGCTGGCATGGTTCAGTTTCTGGTTCATGTGAGAAACTGCTGGATTTTCTATTTAGACACTGTGTTTTCAGGTGCTTTTTTACACGTACTCCTCTTTGGACCAACTTACTTTTGTACTTTTTTTTTTTTTTTAGTGTAAGTTTGCTTAGCTACTCTCTTGTGGGGAACCTCGAATCGTCATCTATATCCCATTATAGCTTACGCCCCTGAACCTGCCCTCACTATAACCTCATTGGGAGCTTGCTATATAATACAGATTATTGAGCAAATTAAGGTCAGATGGGTTTAGAATTTTATCATACCCAAATATCAATGTTCGATGTTCATGTTAATCGAAAGATCAAAGATTATAGCCTTTTTGTTCCTTGCTATGTTGTCCTATAATAATTATTGTGTTGTATTCTGTTGTGCTGTCAAATTAACACATCAAATTGTGAATAAAATCACTAAACTATTGTTGTATTGTTTTAATTAAAATTACCATAAGAAAGTAACTTAAATTAAATATTTTATGTAAAAAATTAAATTGAATTGTTTATCATAAACAATATTAATAAAAAACAACATTACATAGTTTTTTAAAAGTAAATAGAACTATTTAATATTTTGACTCCCTCTCTATATAATTTTTAAAAAATAAATAGAATTATTTTCGTTATAACTCTATCAATAAGTAATCGATAAGTTTTTAAAAATTTTCATCTTACATTGACATACGTCGATTATTACTTATTAATAATGTTATAATAGAAGATCTGAAATTTAAAAAAAAATCTCAAAAAATAAAAAATATCAATCAAATGAAATAAATAAATAAATATATATATATATATATGTGTGTGTGTGTGTGTGTGTGTGTGCACGCGCGCGCGTGTGCGTTTATGTTAATAGAAAAAATCGAAAAATATAAGATCCAAATATGAAAAGAAAACAAACCTATATAAAAATCATCCTCTGTTCTCAAAACATTAAGCAGCTGGTTTTTTAAAATCATTATCAAACTCTTTTTAACACTTTTAATTGCTTTGTTTCAAAACAAAGCAATAAAAGCTAGAAAAAAAGGACCAAACAAACTCTTAAATTTGTTTGTCATGTGTTAATTACTATTTAACTACTAGTCACATGTATAGTTGCGATGTAGAAAGTACATTAACATCTGACGCGTAATAAACAACTGGATTATTATCTCATTTGGTATTGGAGTACGATTGAAAGTGTTTTTTAAAATAGATTTAATATTTAAAAAAAAAAGTATTTTTAGACGGTTTTGACAATAGATTTAATATTTTTTGCAAAAAGTATTTTAGATGGTTTTGACAAAAAAATATATATAAAACTCTTAAAAAGAACACTTTAAAATATATTAATTCAATACCTTCTCAATTGAAAAGCATTTTGTAAAATCACTTAATTATCCAGTATTACCAAACACTGAATATACACATAAGTGAATATTTGAACAATGTATAATAAAAATGTGAAAATAAGTATAAAAAAAAAAACAAAGGAGAAATGAGAATAAAATAATTTTTTTAAAGGGCAAATGAATGTCAATAACGAGACAATCTTTCAATATAGGTTCAAATTGGAAATTTACAAAGTTTTTTAGGCCGTGGTTATGCGGACGCTAGAGCAAAAAATATCATCATTAGTCTTTTGCAACTAATTTTTACCAACTACCAAAGCATGCATGAGCATTGACTGAGATCAAATGGGGTAAGCTTTTCGTCTATTAATTTGTACCAACTAATTCTTTGGTTCATCATATGAGCATTCATAGATTTACAGAGATTTGGAGAATGTGAAATATTATAAGAATAGTGCTGCTTAGAGTGCTTTTTTGTGTTTCCTCTCATAAACAAATATTATGCATAGGTCATTTGCTGTCATTTCGCAGGATCGGTGACGCCCTCTCCACTGCTGCAAAATTGAATGCAGAGGTAAATTTTGAAACAAGGCCGCTATAGATACATTGAATTTTCAGGCACCTGTATATATTATATATCATGTAAAGGTATTTTAATTAACTATAGAGGTAATTATGTCAACTTTAATCTTGACAATTATGATAAATGTTTAATGATAGTAGCTCTAACAACGATCAAATACAGTTAAAATTCTTAATGAATGGTAGATCAACTAGCTAATGTTAACCGTGTCTTCTCGAATTTCATATATATATATATAATTACGATTAAAATTTGTGACATTTGTTATAAATGTTAGTGAAGTGAAAGATAAATAAGAAAGGAATTGTGAATTCCACTGCAGAGTGTAGTAATAATGGAGAATGGAGCAACACTTTTTGTGTACAACTTTAACGAAAACACAACTAAAAAAACCAACTTTATTTCATAGCTCTTGTATATTTCAGACAAATAATTCAACTGCCTATCAATCCGGGCACAAATTGGGTATTTTTGAGTGTGCAGGACACAACATAAGTACTTGAGGTGGCATGAAATGACCAAATCCAAAGCATATGATTTGTGATGATAAAAATGTTGAATTTTTTTATCTAAACCGTGATCAAAACTAGAAAATCAAGCGTGAACTTCCTGTCTCTCGTGGTCTGTGCTCAGTGACCACTGCATATGATTTGTGATGATTATTATTAGCTATCTACAATTTGTTCTATAGAATCTATTAGGTTAAAAAAAACTTATGCGTACTTTTTTTATTTTTTATTTTATTATTAGTTTTGTCTTCTTCTTTTTTTTTTAATGTTTTTATGTTATTTTCAAATTTATTTTGATTTGTTCTTATTTGATTACTCAAGCCTTTTTTTTTTAAATATTAGTTTTTCTTCTTTATTTTTATTTGTCTTGATGTTTCTACTTTATTTTTAAATTTATCATATTAGATTTTTATTTGACGAAAAACTATGTTTTTATTTTATATTAGTTTTCCTTCTTCTTCTTTTGCTTTTTCTTTTTTTTTTGGTTAATTTTAAATTTATTTTATTTGGGTTTTTATTTGACTAGAAATTTGTAAGTTAATAGCTAATAATATTTAAGATGTTGACAGAATATATATATATATATATATATTTCTCCCTTCTTTCTCCACCATCATCATACAATTTTGATTGGAGGGTATTGATCAAGTATAGAGTGATAAAGATAGAACGCTTCCCTCATGGTTCTGCTCTTATTTACTCTCTTCTCTCTGTTGGATAGAATTGTTAATCATTGGCATCTATTGCAACAGCTAAAACTTAGTTAAATCATGTCTCTGTATGCATATCTTACATATTGTATCAATACAAAATATATAAACTCTATTGAGTTTACATAGTATTAGGGCTTTAAGTGGCCCAACAACTCCTGTTTTCCTATTTATTCTTCTATCAGTTTCTTTCTTCCTAATAGCCTCATTTCTATCATCATGCTTGCAGAAAATACTTTCACCTCTTTTGCGATCAACACTCCCCTTCCTAGTTTCAACAATCAATCTATTCTCAAGCTCACCCTAACCAATTTTCTTTTATGAAAAACTCAACTTCTTCCTCTTCTTCGTTGTCGTGGCTTGCTTCATCACGTTAATGGCTCTCAATCATAGCCATCTTCCATGGTAGATGACAAACCTAGTCTTGATTTTTCCATATGGAAAAAGGAATGATCAACTTGTTCTTATCTGGATTATTGGCTCCTTAACTGTATAAGTTATCCCATTAGTCATTGATGCTTTCACTGCCAAAACAACATGAGATAATATTCATACTGCATATGACTCTAGAACTCGCACATAAGTTAATAACCTCATGAGTAATTTGTATTATCTTGAATGACAAAGTTCTAAATTTATCTCCCAATACTTTAAACGTGCAAACAACATTTATGATATGCTTCACTCAATTGGTTCTACAGTGCTTGAATATGATCTTGTTCAGGCCATTCTACGTGGATTTGATGATGAATATCAACCCTTTGTGAGGTCAGTTGAATCTAAGAATGAAGAAATTTTCTATACTACTCTCTACGGTCTTACTTTGAGTGAAGAATCCAACTCAGTAAATCATTTAATTATCTCCATATACCAACGACTGCCTATTATGCCACTCATAGTCTTTCACCTTTTTCGACACATGGGCGTGGCCGTCATCGTGGCTGTTAGTCCATTCTCGATGCTAGACCACCCACTGGTTTTCTTAGTCCTCCTCCTCAGATTACTTGCTGTTAGCACCTAATTTTTAACTCATTTGTGAAAATTCATTTGAATTTCATAAATCAAGAAAAAAGATAAAAAGAAAAAAGAAAAATAAAGAAAAATAACATTTTAAGAGTCGATTGGAAAAATCAAGTGAAACAAGAACCAAATAAATTCAATTGGGTGTGCTAATTTGAAAGAAATAAGGAGGTGGATGGATAAAATAAAATAAGCATACAAGATGAGAGACCAAATCAAACTTTAGCCATCAAAATCTGGAAAAAAAAAAAAAAACCACTATAAAAACCCTCATTCCTTATAGTAGAAACCATAGATCGAAAAATTTAAGAGGTAGAGAAAAATCCTAGAGGTAAAAAAACTAGAAAGTAATAGTCCCAAGGTTTAGAGAGGACTAGACCGAGGGAAATTATGAAGTTTCGAACTCAAATTAGAGCGGCCGATTGTAAGAATTAAAAGTTTAGAGACTAAAGTGTAAAATGCTAGTGTTTTGGGAGAAAATTAAATGGTTTTAAGAGACTAATTCAAGTAACTTATTAGCTAGATATTAAGGGAGAAAATATCTCCCTAATTCGGTTTAGTGGAGGAGAACGAGAGGGAGAGAAAATCAAGCAAAAAATCAAAGAAAAAGAGGAAGGAAAGAGGAAAAATAAAGAAAATTTTAAATCAATCTTTAATGCAAGAACTTGAGATTGATGCAAGTGTGATACAATGGGCTTAATCTTAAGGAAAAACCTTAGCTATAAATATGTAAGAAGAAGATGGAATAGAGGTTAGAAACTTTAGATGTTCAAGGTTACACTCGAAGAGAGAATAAGCAAAATCAAGAGAAAAATCATCAAAACCAACATTCCAAATCACCTTAGACATCCTTGAAACACCCTAAAATCATCCTAGAATCAGTTTAGAAGACCAAGCAAATAAGGAGGTAAAAAGTCGATGTGGGTTGAAATTTAGAGGGAGAGAGAGGAAATCCAAGGAGAAAAAAGGAGAAGGATTAACAAAACTTCAAGTGACGTAAGTGTAATCCTCACTACACCATAAGAAACTTATGTTTTGATATTTATTTGATGATATTTTGAAGTTTTATTGATTATGATTTGATGGTTTAATTGTTAGAGTTATTATGTGATTATTTGATTTAAATGGGTTTAATGACGGAATTATGTTTTTGGTGTTGTGATTGATATGTTTGGAGTTTGTTTAGCTTGATTGAGTACAATTTTGATGGTGTTATATTCATCAAAATTTCTGGTCCAATCCTAATTTTTAGGAAAAATTATGGTTTAGGTGATTAATGCATACAAGATGTTTCATGGAATAAATTAGGCTTGTTTTGTAGTGTTAGATTGGAAAATTCAAATTTGGCTATTAAATGGGTAATTTCGACCAAACTAAAGAATTTGGTTGATTTTTTTTTATTGATTTAATTTTTGTATAATGGATGAATAAATGCTTAATGGATGGAATAGATATAAAAATTTAAGTTAAAATGATGAAAAGGAAGTTGGTCTTCCATTGGCCAAGTTTTGGCCCAATGTGTGAAATGAGACAAAGAAAGGTTAACTTGAGATTAATGATAATTTTGAGGTTTAGAAGGTTGAAATGGTATGAAAAATGATTAATTATGTGTTGAAAATGGTTTGGTTGAATCTTATGAATAATTCAACCATGATGTGTACTTCGTGCATTGTGTATGTTCTTTGTTCATACATGATTTTCATACATACTTGATTTAATGAAACACGTAATGGATGACTTATTTGTATTATATGTTTGTATGATTTATTGCTATGTATAATTAGGTTTGTATTGATGCATTGCATTTTAATTAAATGCAATTATCATGATCATGAAAGAGGATTTATATTCATGATTGTGATTGAGGAAAAGGTAAAGAAAAAGTAAAGGAATGCATATCATTCAAATATATTTGCATATCATAACCATGAAAAGGATTCGACTTCATGGTTTTTATGAAAAGGAAAAACGACAAAACACATGTTTTCAAGAGGAAATAGCTAGACACCTTTAAGAGGAAAAGGAAAAGAAAATGACATTATTATACGAGAGGAGTGATCAGCCTCTCGTGAGGAAAAGGAAAAAAATGGAAATGATTCTTTTTGAAAGAAAGAGAAGAATGAGGAATGTTATTTATATTGTTCTTTTCAAAAGCGAAGAATAAGGAAAATGGAAGGCGTCTAGTGCTTTTTGTGATTTTTCGCAAATTGCATCTATTAAAAGAGACCGATTACATACATAATCGACAAGGTATGCTCGAGGATGAAAATAAATTTCGAAAGACATGAAAATAATTTTAAAATGTATCACGTGCATTAAAAACATCACATGCATTACATGAATTACACTTACTAAGCAACGTTCACCTAGTTTTTTGTGGTGTAGGTGAAAAGAAAGATAAATAAACATTGTTACGTAAAAGATGCATTGACTTGCCATAACATGTGCTTAGTATTGTATAAATGAGTGAGGAAACCTTACCCTTGCTTAACTTAATTTTTGAACATGTAAATGGATGTTAGGTTAACCAAATTTTGATTTGTAATAATAAAAAATATGATTGGATGGTTAAAGACATTTTTATGTCAAGCAATCTCCGATTAGGTAACTTGAATAATTACTTTGTTATTTAATTAATTAAATTGGTCTAAATGAGTTAATAGACTAAGAAAAAGAATTAATTAGAGGTTAAATAGAGGCATTAATTAAATGGTTATTTAGGTTTAATAACTAAAGATTTAATGGTAAAACG